ATTTATTTATTAATAATAATTTAAAATTTAAAATACGTTGATATCGTTGGTTGTGGTTTGATTCACGGGTCAGATAATTTTTTTATCAATATATATCTTTAATTAATCTATACTTCAATTCGAACATGATTGGGGTATTAACCGATTTTTTAACTTTCTACAAAGCTTGCAATTAAGTAACATAACTTTGAGAACCCCAGAGAACCAAGCCAGAAATGGGGGAATTGTTTGTATAAATAAAACGTTACTTTGTTTGCAGACACCTAAAGGCAAGCCGTAACGGCTTGCCTTTAGATATCATATATCTACAGGTTACGAAAACGCATGGTTACATTTTTAACCACCTCAAAAAAAGGAGGTTCTATCCTAAATATATAATACATATTTTCGAACATTAGGATGTCGTCACTGCTAACATTGTTATCTGATAATGGAGACAATTAACGTTACTGACCGTGTGGTGTGTAAACACCATGATTAACATAACAAGCGAGGACCTTGGCCTTGTCGTAGCCTCGCCAGGTTGCACCGCGTCATCGTCATCGTCATGCCATCTTTCAATGTCATCAGAAATTGCACGCCACAACAAAAACTGTTCCTAAGTATTTTTGGTTGCCATGCATTTTAATTACCCCACTCCGGTGAGAAAATTCAGGTAATATCAAATATCTACGCCAGACACTATTTATTTTTCGGGTATCAAAAAGGAAAAAAATACAAATAAAGTTAAACGGAAAAATGAAGTTATTTACTGAAAAGTTACTGGTCACTGTTCATCATCACATCACATCAACAGCCTTTAATAGTCAAATGCTGGGCATAGGCCTTTCTTTAGAAACGAGGTTTTGCTAGACACTATTTCATTTAAAGAAAACACATAGAAATTCGGTTGCAGGCGGATCAAAGTATCAAATATAATAGAAGATATGAAATAAAAAAGACAAAAAAATATAAAAACAAATAAAAACATAAAACATTAATGAACATAAATTTGCAAATATTTTTGTTATTTAGATTAAAACTACTTTATTTCGATAATTTTATTTCAAAAATATTTACTAAACATAAAACCCACTAGTACGATTATATGTTATTTTAATATGTATAGAGATGGCAAACCATTAGAGATATACCAATTACCAATAACGGTACAGCCGTTTTGAAGTTACGAAAGAACATTCCTAGATATATACAGAACGTACACAATACAATGTAACAAGTATGCGATCCTTAGCTGCTTACCTCCTTCCTACCTTAGGCAATATTCTTTCAATATATTGGAAATATATTGAAAGAATATTGCTTTCCTTCCTTTCCGATAAATAGAAACACGAGTTTACTTCCTATTGGTGGAATCAAATGATAGTTGCCAGAACCTCAGACACGCAATACAGACGTAAGTGTTTGTATTTATGCAATTGTGTTCGGATAATGCAGTTGCACTGTAATGCATCTTCAAGAATACCGTCAACGTAACTGCTACTGTCGAGACAAGAATTTCGGCTTCCTTGAAATCAGTTCAAAAATATTTTTTTCACTTACTCTGATTGCGTCTAGCGAAGGTTTAAAAAAAGAAAAATGTCTGGCAATTGTGGATTGATATTATTAAATAAGTATAAAAAGAGGCAATAAAAACAAAGTGATTTTCAATTCTTTTTAATTCACATATATTCATCTGCAGGAAATGTATGAACGCATCCATGCAGTCCTAGGTGCTAGGCTTAACCTATGGCTCTCTATATTCCATAGAATTTACATTAAAAAACTAGGTGTTCTACATGTAATTTGTATCCGGTTTTAAGAAAAATAGGCGCTAGTAAAACCTAGTCAAATCTACGTCAAATATTATGAAATTATTTATGAACGTATTATCTAGAGGATGCGAGCCAAAATATAAGAGTAACGCGAATACCAAATACTACTGATTTACATGCAGACATTTTGCGTCTACCAGACTTTATTAATGCTGCATTTTTAGAGCGGATAACCATTTGAAAAGAAAGTCTGGGAAAATGCGTGCTCTTAGGAAAATCAATGGCTGCCTTTAAATATACTAGCGATAAATTCTTGTAAAAAACAAACGAAATACACACCTTTCACGAAATCGATGAATAGAGAAAATTTCTCGCTGCATAAGGTTGTTTGAATGTTTTTTACGATAGCAATGTTTCTTTTCAATTGCGAAGTCAAGGTTCTTATTGTAATAGGCTATTATTGCATGAACGTTTGAACAGAGGGCACATCCACATGATAGTCCGCAGTGTGACGTAAATTTACTATTGTATAGAAACAAACCCATACCTAAACTTTAGCTTTAAGGATGCTATTATCTATATTACATTAGTAATTTTATTTAATATATTTATGTTGTTACGAGTCTTTTTAGTTGAAAAACTTGTCATTCCTTTGGTTTGGACAGTTAACAGAGAAATGAGCGTATGTATTTTGCGTTACATTAACTTTCCTCATTATAAGTAACTGTGTTTAGAAATGTTCTAAATGTTATGTAATTACGTACTAGTATTTTCGCCTTTGAAGGAATGATCTATGATAGACCTACAATGCAAATGTGACCGAGAATTTGACTTTCACACTTTAAAATAGTAAAGTTTGCAAAGTGTAAAAGGCGTGTACATGATAAGAATACCAGAAATAGAAATGAATTTTCTATTAATGATTTACATGAAAAATTATCAGGCAAGAAGAAATTTTTAAAGAGTAAAATTAACTAGTTAATAGTAATGAAACACTTGGTAAGGCTCTGCTTAGGTATATGATCCTTAACTGTGCAGATTAGAAAACGGTAACCTGTACTGTTTTTTCATCTTGCAATGGCGATATTAGACCATGTCGGAAAACGGATAGTATACTGCTCTCGTATACAAGACAAGACAAGGTTTCATAAATTTCCTTGCTTGAATAGATACTCATTTTTTTATAGTAACGTTCTGTAAGATTCGAGAGACAGGTATAATACGAAGGAAATTTCCTCTTGTGTTTTTTTTTTTTTTTTTTTTGTACGTGTGGAAATCCCCTCGGACCGTCACCCCTCCGGGGTTTGCGGCGGGGTGGTGTGTCGGACTCGGACCGACTAAAACCACACGGTGTGCCACTCTGCGCCTGTAACAGGAGGGATCCGGGAACAGCTGTTGTTAAGACATCCGGACCCCTCCTAGTGCCAGCCCGCTCCTGGTGCGGGCTCCGTCTCAAAATTTTCCTCTCTTTAGGCGACGTCCGGCACACGCGGACGCCGCCCCCTCGCGGCTGGCCAAACTAATGCGGGTGGAGGGGAATCCCACCCCGTCCACCCGCGGCCACACTCAGGGCGGCATGAGGCTGTGATAGGCGGGCCTCCGCCGCCCGGTTCGCCGGCGGCGGATCGGGTCCGAGTGGAGGTCGTCCTCCCGGGCCCTCTCCGCCGCCTCCTTCCGCAAGATTACTACCTCGCAGAAGGTTGCGACCGCGGTAAAACAACTGTCGCTACCGGCCATGGAGCGTACTACGGCCGGTAGCGAGCTCTTATGTTAATCCAACCCTGAACCGTTTTTATTACGATATCGTAGGTATGTACGCTACTGAATAGTTCCGCAATTTCTACCATCGTGGAGTGCCTCGCTGAGTTTGAAACTTATGCTTCTACACATTGAATATAAAGCTAGATGTGATTAAAAAAAAATAAAAGAGGTGCATGAAAAAAGGGCTGAAATGCCGACACCGATAGGTTGCTACTTTTTTATAGCAAACTTTTAATTAACATGCAAGGTTTGTCAAAGCATATAATATTAATCGGGAATATGTAGCACGGCGCTACTGGAGTGCATCGCGCTATGTTCCTGAGTATTCCAAGCACTGCGCCTGTTTGAAAAGGCTTTTGAATTTCCACATTTTCTAACATGTGCATTATGGCGAAAGCTAGCAATGAGTTTTTTCTTATTTTGATGTAACTAAAGCTAAATTTACTTTACGTGGCTTTTGGCAAAAAAAATGCACTTACTTATATTCTGGCATTTGAAAAACAAAAATTTTGACCCTAAAATAATTTGGTGATCTTTATAGCTAAGTAACGATATTCGAACTGATTATTAATGATTTTGTATGTCACATATTTGACATCTGGTCAGCTTCTTCGCTTTTGGCTTGCCATCTTGTAGAGGAAAATATCTCTTATAGTGATATAAAATAGTGATGTCATTATTGTAAGATGAAATATCAATATATTTCATATCACAATAATGACATCCACTACCAAATGTATATATAAATACCAATCCAATAATGACACTACTCCCTCTCCTTATTATTTGTCTAAAGTATGACTGGCCTTTGTCTATTCATCTCATGTCTTTGACGACGTCTTTGAATTTGTTGATAACGTTTACGGGGTATGGCGCGATGCAAGTCATTAAATCTATTTAGAATTTATGTCTGGCCTTCTATTGGAAGTCCATGACAAATTCAATTTTCTATTTCATATACTTAAAGCAAGCCTTTTTTAACAAGCTTATATTTTTGACAACTCTGGTACTATAAATAGTTTCTGTAGCTATACTCAGTCTCAAGGTCACCATTTGTGGATAAATCATATTTTTGTTCTGTGTGAAAACGAACTCACAATACTTGGATTAGAGGCGAAGCGAGTTTTGGGGTTATTTAATGAAGGGGAAAGGGGCAGCAAAGTTTGTCGTTGTGTATGGAAGGGATGGCAAGAGTAAAAAAGAGAAAGAGACATAAGTTCCACGATGTCTCAAATCTTGATATGATAATAATAATACTATAATAGACCGGAAATAACAATGCTTGATAAAGTTAACAACACAGTTTTTATTATAGACAGGAGTATGTAACACACACAATCTCCTCACGACGCACACAGAAAAGATGTCAAAATATATAGATTTAGCTACTGAAATAAAAAGACAATGGCAGTAAGATAGAGTTCCAATCGTACTCATTTTCATATCTACAACTGGTGTAGTCCCGACGACTCTTCAAGATCATCATCAGCCTATCGCAGTCCACTGCTGGACATAGGCCTCTCCCATTGCACGCCACTTAGATCGATTTTGGGCTTCTCGCATCCAGCTCCTGCCAGCCATCTTGCGCAAATCGTCACTCCACCTGGCCTGTGGGCGTCCTACACTACGTTTGCCGAGACGCGGTCTCCACTCAAGAACTCGTTTTCCCCAACGGTTATCGGTTCTGCGGCTAATATGGCCAGCCCACTGCCACTTCAGCTTGCTGATCCGGTACGCTATGTCGGTGACCTTAGTTCTCTGCCGGATCACCTCATTTCTGATGCGATCCCTTAGAGAAACGCCGAGCATAGCCCTTTCCATAGCACGTTGAGCGACTTTGAACTTGTGGACCAGCCGTACCGTAAGTGTCCACGTTTCAGCTCCGTATGTCATGACGGGTAGGACGCACTCATTAAAGACTTTCGTCTTAAGGCACTGTGGGATCGACGATGAGAAGACTCGACGTAGCTTCCCAAACGCTGCCCAACCCAACCGAATTCTTCTGTTCACCTCGTCCTCGAAGTTGTTTCTACCTAACTGCAATGTCTGCCCGAGGTACACATAATTTTGAACAACTTCGAGAACGGCACCGTGTACCGCAATCGGTTCCGGTAGTACATGTTCGTTGAACATGACCTTGGTTTTATCCAAGTTCATCCGTAGGCCGATGCGTACAGAAGTGTCAGCTAAGTCATTCAGCATTTGCTGTAGGTCCTGCAACGTCTCTGCCATGATGACGATGTCATCTGCAAATCGCAAGTGAGAGATGTATTCGCCATTGATATTGATGCCACGCCCTTTCCAGTGCAGCGTCTTGAACATGTCCTCCATTGCATTTGTGAACAATTTCGGGGAAATAACGTCCCCTTGTCTCACTCCTCGATGCAATGGTACGGGCCTTGTTTGCTGATTCTGCACTTGGACGGACATGGTGGCGGCTTCGTAGAGACATTTCATCACTTGGATGTATCGCCAATCTACTTGGCAACGCTGCAGGGACTCCAGAACAGACCAGATCTCGATCGAGTCAAGGGCTTTCTCATAGTCCACGAATGCTAGACACAGGGGCTGATTATATTCTTCGGTCTTCTGTATAATCTGCCGCACTGTGTGGATGTGGTCTATGGTGCCATATCCGCTCCGAAATCCAGCTTGCTCCGGTGGTTGGAATTCGTCGAGTCTTTGCGCAAGACGGTTCGTGATGACTCTCGAAAACAGCTTGTAGACGTGGCTTAGAAGGGATATGGGTCGAAAGTTCTTCAACCTGGTCTTGTCACCCTTTTTGAAGACCAAGACGACCACACTCCTACTCCACGCTTCTGGAGTTCTCCCTTCAAACAGGACAGCGTTGAAGAGCTTTTGGAGCTCCCTTAGTACGGGTTTACGGTTTTCAGCAGCTCTGTTGTAACGCCATGCTCTCCAGGGGCTTTTCCATTTTTCAGCTGTCCAAGAGCCATCTCGATTTCGTCAATGCTAACTTCTGGCAGGTCTTCGGTGTAGTGACGTGTTAATGAGGCTCTAGAGTCCTCATTTTCGGGATCAGGTCGAGATGCATGCGAAGCGTATAACCGGCCATAGAAGCTTTCCACTTCCAAAAGAACTGCCGGCTTCGAAGCAACGACTTCTCCACTTTCTGTAGTCAACTTTGTCAGGTGGCTTCTTCCAAGAGATTGTACGAACACTTTTGACCCCCGATTTTGCTCGATCGCTCTTTCAATTGAAAGAGTATTGGAGCACCGGAGGTCGTGTCGTACGAGTTTACTGATCTCTCGGTTTAGAGTCCGCTTTGCCGACAAAGTGACAGGTGGGTTTTCACGTCGCTTCTTCATCAGCCCTAGGGTCCTTTCTGAAATCTTCGACTTCCTGCCCTTACGCTGCATTTCACAAAATCTCATACCTTCTTCCCTGAGGATCCGAACCACATTTTTGAGGTTCTGGTTTACGTCGATTGTGGTTTCCACGGCAGCGAATCGGTTTTCCAGTTTTGACTGGAACGTTTCAGATCCTGTCATGGCTTGGAGCCGAGTTGGTCGGAGCCTGGATTTCATCAAACAGACACGTTCCGCCTTAAAGTTGATATTCAGAGAGCCCCGGACAAGTCGGTGATCACTACCGGTATTAAACCTATTGATCACTGAGACGTCTCTGAATATGTGCTTTCTATCCGTCATGATGAAATCGATCTCATTTCTAGTCATAGCGTCGGGGCTTTGCCACGTCCACTTCCTTTGGGGCCGTTTCTTGAAGAAAGAATTCATCAAAAACAGCCCCTCCCGTTCGAGGAAGTTGACCAGCATTTGCCCCCTATGATTATTGCTTCCAAATCCATGGGATCCTACTATCGATTCGCCGCAATTGTGTACTCCCACTTTAGCGTTGAAGTCACCCATAACAACGTTGTAGTGGGTCTTAGTTGTGAAGTGGAGGGCCCTCGATATGTCATCGTACATATCCTCCACCTCGTCGTCCGAATGTGCCGAGGTCGGTGCGTACACTTGCACAACCTTGAGGCTATACCTCTCGGTGAGCTTGATAATGAGGTACGCTACCCTGTTCGACACACTGGAAATTTCCACAACGTTGTCAGATAGATACTTATTTACCAGAAACCCAACCCCACCTTGGGATTGTTGGTCTCCCTCGCGGAAGTACATTAGGTGGCCTGACTCGAGGGTTATGGTGTCCTCCCCCTCTCTTCGGACTTCACATAGCCCTAGGATATGCCACCTAATCTTCGGGATATAGGGATTCTAATAATAAGGGAGACCAGAAAAGGTATATAAGATAATAATAATAATTATATTCTACTACATTCATACAACGGCATCTAGTCCCAAACTAAGCAGAGCTTGTACTATGGGTACTAGACAACTAATATAAATTTATATATATTTTTTGTAAATACATACATACGAGTATTATGCATAGAAACAACCAATTAAAGGATAATAGAAGATGACAATGGTTGCTTGAAAAGATGTCGATGCAACGGATGTTCGTAATAGTGATACAAAATTTTGAATTAAACTAAAAATCAATACTGAACCTTTGTCTATGAAATTTGTGTGAGAAAATTGATGCAGGAAAATTATTTAGAGTAAATTCTTGTTTTTAAAACATTCGAACTTAATATATGCCTTAATTATATCATAATATTCTATTAAAGTAAATTCTTTTACATTATTATAAAACTTTGTTAAAATTTGTTTTTTTTTTTTTTTTTTTTTTTTGGTTTTTAATAAAAGACAACTCCCGCATTAGGAATATATCCTGTGTCGCGGGGGACTTTACATACATACATGAAACGGACACAAAGAACACCCAGACTCAGAACAACAATTTGTGGATCACACAAAGTGACGTCCCATGTGGGGTTTGAACCCACAACACTCGGCGCAGTAGGAAGCGGCGTGGCGACCGCTTATACCACTACGCCATCTGTGCAGTCCGTTATGTCTATGTTGTATGCAAAATAACGATTATTATCTACCTTTTCCACATGTCCTATGTATTATATCTGTGTCGATACTTTGTTTAATATTTTACAAAAACCTACATAAAAATTTAGAGTTACTTTAATAAACTTTATATTGATAGAACTTTCATTGATAGGTACATTACTTATATATATATACAATACATATAAACAAAACTGCATTTTATGTCCTTCATAATGTGATAAAACATATAAACTTTGCCTCCATCACTTAAACAATAAAATTAACAAATAGATGGGTACTTTACTTTACAATACGATTTAGACGACAACTACAGTTTTTCAAATGAAATTAAATTTAATGTTCTTTTGATTGTCAAAAGATTTTAGGTATGACATACCGAGCCTGATTGCGGCTATAGTGCGGGGCGAGAGTGCGTGGAACTCTGCCGTCTCCTTCTGCGAGCAAGTTATGCTCGCGAAGGAGACGGCGGAGCGGGACCGGGAGAGGTTTAGGACTCTCCCGGCCCGCCAGGCCCGGGAACGAGCGAAGCGCGCTCGCTTCCAGGGAGCACAGGGAACATGGGGTTCCCACACGGGGGGTCGTCTACTCGTCTGTAGATGACCCGAGGTATCTCGGGGCACCAGAGACTTCCTTTCTAGGGTATACCTGGTTCCCCGGCTATTAGTACCCGAGACGGCGTGCGGTTTTAGTCGGTTCGAGTCCGACATGCCACCGATAGGTAGTATCCGAGGGGATTTCAGCACGGAAAAAAAAAAAAAAAAAAGGTATGACATACCGAATGTAAATCAAAGTTTGACATCTGTGACTAAATGAATAATACTTTACTTCTATCGGTTGTTAAGATTCCAGCGTTTGATCCCACATTCAAAAGTAATTAGTTCCGTGTCCTATTCCATCAGCGTTATTTTACAACGACTTTTTGTTTTTACGGTTCTTAAATATCAGGTTTCACGTGTTACAAGTACAATTATCTACACTTTTTATTCCGACAAGACCTTGTGTAGCAAAGATAAGAGTACAATATAATAAAAACTTCACTATACAAATGATGAATTCTTAAATGTATTTGTACCATATGTCACTACAAGAATAAGTTTAACATTTGGATTTAATAGAATATGGATTAGAACTTCGCGTCAAGCGGCGAACGAGAATAAGGATTAGTTGTATCTATTTAAGTTCAATGAAACTTCGATCGGTACTTATTATCCACTTGCATCGAACCTGCTTTCGACCGCTTTCGAAGAACCATGAAGTTATTAAAAGCCTATATGAAGAACATTACTCCATATATTACAAAGTTTATGTAGATAGCCTTACAATATGATATAGTTATCATATTGTAAGGCTTGTTTTAGCGAAAAATATTTAAATTGTTCAATAGGTATATAGAGAGAGATAGGTATATAGGTGTATAGGAGAGGCTTATGTCCAGCAGTGGACTATTAAAGGCTGTTGATGATGATGATGAATAGGTATATAATATATTATAAATAAAAAAGGCTCTTGACAAATCTAGTGAGTTTAAAATACAATTCTTAATTCAAATTCTTAATTTTTCATTGTGCTGACATAGACCAGTATTACTTATTGTGCATCGAGCTTGGCACCGACTTCAAACAGACTAGAAGGGACTATTGGTATTATAATGTTACCTGTTACATTGAGGGTACTTATTATAGTTTTTTACTTAGATTTGTAATTATTTTTCAATTTTTAGTGCTCTTTGTCGGTGTTGTTTGAAGTTGGTTCAACTTTTTTTTAAAAGGGTTTATTATTGTTTACGTAGTAATGGAAGGACTTTGAAAATGGTTTAGAAATAGTTAAATTCCTTTTCTGAATAACACTTGTAACCTTTTTTTTATAAATTCAATTTGTCACTTTCAAAAAACAAATTCCTAAAATTATAACGAGCACGTCTTTCTGTGCCTTGTAAAGTGTATGTTGTTCTAAAAGTGCTTTTTCAGACTCTTCTTACAAATTCTAATGCATTTAAAACACGTTCTAAAGCAACCGTCAAAACAAAAATAAATGTACATACAGAGTATACAACTATCAGTGAATTAAACTACACAATCTTCAAATCTTTACATTAATTAAAGATTTACGTTTTGAATCATGTGTGTATTTCGGGGAGGTCGAATAGATTTAAACCCTACAACAGTCCTTAATTAAGTGTGGCGCGCGACACCAACTTATCAGGCATACATGAGAACTATTTAATTATTATTTTTAAGCCCATATTTTAAAAGTAGACGGGATAATGAATATATATTAGTTAAATTCGTAGTTAAAACATTGTTACAAGACGGCAGATAACATTTTTTGAACGTGTTCAGATAAATACGTGCTGATTGCTGCAAATCAATAATAATCAATTCGTCATGGCTCGTAAGAGACTGCATGTGGACCTTTATTCGCTATTGTCTTTTGTTTTACGTTATCATTCACATTTCCGTTCACATAATTCACATTGTGCGCATATCTAGTTAATAATTTATTGGGTACAGTCTAGTGATGTGCCGGATATCCGTATCCGTATCCGTATCCGCGGATATCCAAGGGAGAAGAGAGATCCGTAACCGTATCCGTATCCGTGACTTTTTTGGCGGATCTTTCAATACATATTAAATAGATGAAATTCTATAAAGGTGATTTTGTATTCACTGTAAAACTCTTAGGTATGTGTTTGTAACACTATAAACAGCAACTTCTTTCTGGTCAACGTCAAAATGTAAAAAAATTGGTTCTCCATTCAAATAACCAATCAAATGTTGTTAGTTTGTATGGAGAAACATTTTTTTTTCTTTCGTTTTCGGTGTTAGTCCAGAAGAAAAGTTGTTGTTTATAATTTTACTAATATGCACTTCAGAAATTTTCAGTAAATTTAAAATAACCCTTAATAATGGTTATTAGGTACCTATGAAAAACTATTAAATTCTGTTCAGATTACTTTTTATTTCTTAAAACAAATATTTGTCACGTTTGTATTGCAATGATTTATCGTACTATACAAAATATAAAGAGCTATCTTTATAATGAGATCAATCAAACATCTTTGTATTAGCTTATTAAAATAATGAAATATTTAAATATCAACGGCAAAGCGTCAAGTGGCGACAACTATCAAGGTCACGGGCTCCGATTGAGTAAGAAATTTAAGATCCGTATCCGTATCCGTATCCGCGGATCTTGACACCAAATATCCGTATTCGGATCCGTATCCGCGGATATACTTTGTTAACGATCCGGCACATCACTAGTACAGTCTTATATCTTGTGTTAAGTATGTAGGTTCACCCCGATAGTGCATGCGAGCTGATACAACATAGAGAAGTGCGACCTTCTATGTGTTACAATAATTTCGTTAAGCAAACATAACTGAACATTAACTAGTTAGTATTGATGACACTAAAAAT